CATAACTAGTGGAAAGGGATAAAGTTACGGCCCCAGCCAGCCAATCAGAACGTCGGAGGAGGACACGTGACAACGCATTGTCGGTGTGCCCTTCCAACACAACCTGCGATATGTAAAGTGGTATGGTACAGCTTATGCGCCATAACTTTGAGCGCGAGGGAGACACAAATAGGTAGGTGTGTTGCGTCAACCTGGGGCTGGGCCTTGTCTCCGACCAATACGTCGAGGTAACCTCGACGTCGGGCTTGGGCCCAATCGCCGCAATGGCGGCATCCTTGTGTGACGACCTTACGTGCATGTAAAGAAGCCTGTTCATAGGTTATTTTAATCTTAGTGGTGTTGGCCCTTCTCGTAGAGAAGGCCCTTGCGTACTTTGCTCCTTTACTCTGATTGGCTCGATAGGGCCACAGTCTTCGCTCTTTGAAAAATCAGGCTGAGGCAGACTATAATCAGCATGGCTCGTAACAGTGGACCCTTTTTGAAAGTCACGTGCCGATCATTTGAAGGTCGGAACCACTGCACAATGGCGGATCAACTGAAGTCGTAGAACGTGCGAGTGATTTCATAAGATAGCGAACACTGAAGCGCGGCCAACGCTGGGACCCGACCAGCCAATCAAACGTCGAAAGTGCAACGTCACTTCGTTCTTCACCTTTTTTGTGTTTTTCTTCTTCTAATACAACTAAACGCATAAAGTGTGCCCTGACGTTGGTGATGGAGTTCGCCATTGTGCAGGGATTCCACAGCTTCTCACAATGGCCAGTTTTCTTAACGTGCCTATTTACTTCAGTATTGCTCGACATCCCGAGGCATCCTCGATAGGACATGTTGGAGCCCCTGAAGAGACGAAATGTGTTTAGGTGTAGGCTATCACAATTGTGCTGTCCTAAACTTCCGCTCTGGAAAGGTTTCCATCATGACCGCCATCTTGTGACTTTCCTTTATTCACCACCGTTCGGGCAAAGATTCGCGCGTTCCGAAGGAGAACACGACTCCTTAGTTTGCCAACAAATTGAGTGTGCATGTGTAGTGACGTCAGTACTCACTGTAAACGCCGCCGAACACACAACTCTCGCGGAATTAGAGCCGTCCACCACTTCGGAAATCACGGCGAACCAATTACCACAGAAAAGAAAAGTATTGCCCCTCCCTCAAAAATCACTTACTCCTAGCGTAAAAAATAACACTATTCAAATCGGAGAGGTGTAAAAACAAACAGCTAATTTAATCCCGCAAACCCAACGCCGGATTGACGCACCCTTATAGGAGTTATTCAGTCAGCTCGAAGCGATGGGTCATGGGAAGAGAAATTGTTTTCCGAACACCATTGGCATAGGCAAAGCGGGAATTCGAGGCAGGTGCTGTGCAGGGTTAGCTTCCAAGCGGCAGTTTGAAAACAATCACATTAATACCAAATATGGTTTAAGACATTCCTGCGTGTAGGGCGCAGCGGCAAAAGAACACGCAGTCTTCTCATTTGTCCAACAGCCCCTTCACAGCAGTCAACGGGCAAGTAATACAAAATATAAATTAAAAAAAAAAACATACACGAAACACAAGAGCAAACACATCAATATTTCGTTCCTTCAATTCACTTTTATTTCCTATTGAAAGTCCCATCTGTTCAGCGGAATCAAAAATTAAGATAAAAATATAGGCAGGTCGTCGTGCCGAGAGGCTTCGTTAACGGGCGCCAAGTAATCGGATCGATTTTGTGTTCCCAAATGGCTAGCACCTGACAGAATACTATGCATTCTTCTTGTAAATAGCCTTTTACATCAATGACTCCTACATTTGTCATCGAAAAGAAAGAACGACGCCTAAATTGCGCAACGTACATGGGTTCGGAACTCAAGCCTACTTCAAAGAGACAAATATTAATATTTCAATATTAAATTAATTTTTAACGCATACCGATACTATTGTCTACGAGGTAACCTACAACAATAGAAAATGTATCATCGGTTAGATAGTAAAATAGCCTGCACTGCGAACGCCATGCGTATGTAACCGACACTTGGCGCACGTCTTGATTTTACGATCGCAAATGGGAAGGCGGTTAACGGGTAGTGTTACATATTAATCTAGTCGTTTCACGCATGAGGTAATAGTTAATTTCGATTTACTCTACCTTCGACATGTCATAGAGCTGCACGCCCGGTTTGCCGACACTCCGTGCTATCACGTCCGGCTGGTTGAAACCAGACTTGTACACGTTACTAAAAAAAAGTAAGGAATTACAGTAACAGTTACTCAGGTCTCAAATGTAATTTATTACAATTACAATTACCCTTCCGTAAAAGTAAGTGACCGTTACTCCGAAAAGTAATCCGTTACTTTCGCGGCCGTTACTTTCAACTTTACTGCACTATTAATAGGAAACAAACGAAGAACATTATAGATTATAAAATTGTTTATTGTTTGATCAAGTCACACTTTGTTGATCTTCAGCAGTAGCTGACTCTCAAAAGTTGCATCCGACATCTTTCCCCGCTTCTTTGTAAAGATGTCAGCCGCCACGCTGAATACCCTCTCCACTGAGGCACTGGATGGGAGCGCAGTATTATAGCGCACAAATGCTTGACGCACGGCATCGTACCTCTGAAGTGAGGCGATGGAAGTGCACTCTGCGTCCCGGAGGAAACGCGAAGCTTCATTCTGGGAGATGGAGCTTGACGCCGTTGTCATTGCAAAGCTGAAGTAATCGCCGGAGGAGTGGTCCGCGCCGTCTTCCTGGGTAGATGGCGTGCCAATCGCAGTGGTACTCCTATAGCAAGGGCGACTCAGCTCGTCCGTCAGCTGCTCGGCGAGAGCTTCACGCCTCGCGAGGTCGGTGACCCAGTTCGCTTTGAAGCGCGGGATGAGCGCTGAGGCCAGCAGGAGCTCCCGGTCGCCGTGCAAGTGATCAAACCTGGAAGACCAATATGTGCATCTACATATAAATCATTTCACAAATATCGCCAATTTGAAGAGAATGAACCTCGGTCAAGACGCCGGTAGCGAAGCTGTTTTCAAAATGTGCGTTGCAAATGTGAAACAAAAATCTGATTTTAATATTATTACACACAACCAATGCAAACATTAGGGCGCTCCCACATATAGACCGAATGTTAAAACAAGTAAATGTAGGCGCACGTATGCCATACTTACCGCTTCTTTATGCCGTTTAAAAGCGCATGGACCAGGGGCCGGCAGAACTGCAGTCCAGTGTTATCCAGGTGGCGAAGACGCAGTTGTAAGACGGTTATTGTTGGGAGCAAATACCCGATGTACATGCTCTCGTCTTTCTGTATCACGTCTATGGCGCACGCCAGAGGTTTCATGACCTGCACGAGTTACGTAGCAGTAAAAAACATATTATTAAGCATGCCATACGGCAGCGAGGCAGAAAGTTGTGAGAGTTGGTTGATCATCTTACAAATTAAAACACCGCAAAAAAAAAAAAAAAAATGAGACAGGAGAAACAAGGAAGGCACTAACAGGCACAGCCCTGTGTCTCGGCCTTTTTGTTAATTTTGTCTCCGTTTCTTAGTTGTTGCGCTGTTTTATTTTGCATTATGCGATACGGATTCAATCCGCATTACTTTCAGGACCTGTTTACTCCGTAGGAATACACAAATAAATATATCTTCACAATTTAAGCCGACATTGGGGTAACGCCATTTCCCAAGAGTACCAAATATTAAGTAATAAGTTTAAACCACATATAGATTATTCATAAGTGCATGTCGAATTGTGACCACAATATATTTATTCTAGTTTTCGCACTGCAATTTTTTGTTCATAAAACCTAGCGTTCACGAAAATTAGTATTCAAGGGAACCTGCACTGGATGCCGAGATTAATATTTCCAGTTAACTTCCCGCCGAAAAAATATATTTAAAGGTCCCTATATATTATATAATCGAGATTACGGTCTGTTATAAAAATATGTTCTGAGATACGGGCTTCTATTGTGAGCATGCAGCCTTGAGCGGTTCTGATCATTAATATTTCACAGCTCAATTATGCACCCTTAGCTCTCATGCAATAGACGCGCCAGACGCAAGAATGCAACACCGCGGTTTCCTTCGCACCAGCGGACGTAAACGCGCATATGGATTTGCTTAGAAATATTGTATTGCAGCATTTCAAGGTGCCTTGAAAATAATACTTGTGTTCAGGCACGTAGCCAGGGGAAAGGCCCATGGCTACGTGCCCCTCATACAACATTTTGTCCATGGGCGAGCCCCCCCACCCGCCGAAACAAAATCCTGGCTACGTGCCTGCTTGTCTTGTATGTATCCTTATGCAGTCGGAAGTTAGTCATTATAATGGACATCTGGTATATCAGCTGTAGATGAGCAATTTAGCCAGTGCAGTACAGCTGTTAGCCTAGGGTATTTAACGTGCACCTCGCAGTAGTGATACACGACCGTTCGCCGCCACGATATGCTATCCAAATCGAAACGGGCAGGGGTAGAAATTCTGCAGCGAGAGTTTTCACTACGTGTTCCGAGCTGAGGTGCGCTAATCCACTCGGCCACCGATTTCCCTTGTAAACGCTTTGAGAGGCGTTTGCGCACAAACGAAACGTAGCTGATCGCTATGGCTAACCTGTGCATTCAAACATACGTGGGCTGAAAAACACGTGCTTTCAAGTGGCACACCGATGTCGTACATTGCCTTTCAATGTCGTACACTGGTAAAAATTAAATAAGAATATTTTTCTTACCTCACAGTATTCCTTCATGAACAGAAGGTCTCGCGGTCGCTGGAACTGCGGCACATGCAGCGCCCTGCACAGTCCGTCGATGTCCTTCCCATCGCAGTCCTGGGCAGTAAGGCAGTCTAGGGCGTCAAAAAACGAATTCCACCGCGTAGAGACTGGTCTCAGGAGGCTCTTCCCGCAGTACTTCATGATGGTTTCCGCTGCGATGGCCGACTGCCCTTGTTTGCACCATAATGCACGACACGTGCCGAGGACCGATCTAAGGGGCCTTGAAAAAATCTCGTGCCGCTCAGCCTCCGACGCATCCGCCGTCGCTACCAAGTTCAAGGTGTGCAGAGCACCGATGATGAGGAGGAAGGCGGGCCTCGCCTGCGGGTACGTTGTTTAGCAAAGGCGCCACCTCCACGGCCTCGGTGAAGGCGTCGTCATCTTCGTCGTGATGCGCGTCTTCGACATCCTTTTCGCCAAAAAGTCTGCACAAAAAAGTAAACAGAAATGTTTGAACCGAACTTGCGCCCACAAAATTAAAGTGCGATTGACATACCTGAAGGCTTTGACGAAGTTTGCACCGTTGTCCGTTATCACCTTCGTAACCTTTCCTCGCAGACCGTAGTCGTCAAAGGATTTCTGGAGGGTGTCTGCAATTTTGTCATAGGTGACTCGTCCAGTCATGCGACGGCAGAGGAGAACGGCGGATTTCCTGCTGAGGGAGGGCTCAAGCCAGGAAACGGTAGCCGCCAGGTAGCTCCTGTAATGAAGAAATGGTGTATAGAAGATAACCCGTATATGTCGCCAATTTTGCTCCGTCAAGTCAATACCAGACACGCCGTGTTTTAATAGCATTTAACTACAGAAGCACAAATAAAAAAGAAAAAAAATTGTCAAAAACGACAAGATCAGTTGGCCAAAAACTGGTCTGCTTCAAGGTGGTAAAGACGTCAGGGAGACCGTCCAGCTGCCCAACCTTTAGCAAGGGCTGTCTACCTCTTGTAACGCTTAGTCTTGTGACCTTCGAGCTGGCACGCACAGCCTAAGCACTACTGCAGGCAGCTAGCGAGTGCTGGAGCTACACGAGGCCTCAAATTGAAAGCATGCAGCTCAGGCATAGCCGAAATACGGTTTAGATAAGTAGTGAAACACTGTAAAGGCACGCCCCCCGTATGACTCAGAAAACGACGAAAGTGATCGGTGCTTTGGGGAAGACACCATATGTCACGTCTGCTTTAAAGGCAGTTTAGAAACACATTATTTGAGCTCACGCTGATAGCTTGAACTGTTTTCCAAGCTATTATGAAACAAGCTGAAGACATACGGCATTATTAGAAAGCAGCTACTGCTTGTTAAAAATCGATCAACGCATACTAAAATTCAGGGTTCAGTAAATAACTGTCATTTGGGAAGTTGTGCCTACAACACAGCAGCAAGAATCAGTGCTATAAAAATGTGTGCGCTTTCTACAGGCAGGTGACCAAAAACCCTTACCGTCGAAAGGTCGTCCAGCAGTCCGCTGTCACCGTCACGTATGTCACATCTCCCAAAGTTGCCTTGAGCCGCAGCTTCATTGCGTCACAGCTGGCCTCCATTCGCGTCATAAGCATTCTTCGAGTCAAAACGCTGCACTTCGGCGCCAGCGATTTCACCATTTTCACAAAGCTCGGTGCTTCAACAACTGAAAATGCTTGTGACGTGTCCACAACGAATGTCAGAATAAGGTCGTCAAGCTTGCTTTGCGACACTGCACCTCTCTCAAAACCAATTGTCAGCTGCTTCTGAACTGTCAATGGGGACTCGGGTGCCTTCCTTTTTTTTAGGAGACTTTCAAAGCCAGACAGCTGGCTAGGGTGTTGCCGCTAAAAAGAAAAAAAAAAGAGCAAAAACAACACTACATCAGTATACCCCAAATTGCAGGTGGGAAATTGATTACTTTCTACAGGATTAATATTAGAAGGTCCTAATTTTTGCAAATACGCAATTAAAAGCGATTACAAAAAAAAAAAAACAAGTTTACAATGTTGAATACATTGCATAGCACCCCCCTGAAAACATTTAGTGCTACCAAAATATTCGCGAAACTGACACCTTCCAAATTACAATAAATATTGACCCAAGGGAAATGAGATGCGTGTGTAGGATATTCGTTATGAAACTAATCAAGGTGAACTTACCTGAACGTGTTTCCTCAAGTTGGCGTTGGTCGACTTCGCGCATGACAAGAGCTTCTGTTTTGGTTTGCAAAGCAAACATTCAAAGGTGATGTTACCGTCACTCCTCATTTCGCTCACTGAAAACATAGAAACTAGCTGAGGCCACGGCGATTTCGGGCAGCGGTCCTCCATGGCGAACGCAAAAGACAGGGTTCATGACGCCACCCCCGGTTTATATACCATCGGTGGTGATTCACTGTAGAACCAGCAGGCCTCTCGCCTCAAGTCCGGAATCTCCACTCCTATTGTCACAGCTTACGAGCCTAGTTGAGCCATCATATGCTGGTTAGATATTTTTAGAAAAAAAAAAAAAAAAAAAACAGCGGTAAGTTTTATTTTGAGATCCTTGTTGGAGTGATAATACATTTTTTTGTTGTAGAAGCAGAAATACAAAAATAAAAACAAAAGTACTGGTTGTAGGCAACAAAAATCGCACCTGCAGGCGTAAGTGGCTGTCCTTTATTATAATAAAAACAGCAAGTAAAAAAAAAAAAGCACAAAAGACCAAAGAGCTCCGGAGAGCTCTAAGAAACCTTATGCATAAAAAAGATGCGACACGGATGTAGGCAACATGGCACCCACAGGCCGTATGTGGTTATTCTCATATGAGCCAGCGCTAAAAACGTAACTAAAAAAAAAAAAACGGAAAAGCTTCTAAAAAAACTCGGTCGCGGTAGGATTCCGCAAAAAGCAGGACAAAAACGAGTCAAAACCCTCTTCTCGATAAAAAGATAGGAAGTGCCCCACTAATATCTTTCAAACAGCATGGAGCGAGAATGCTTGTTACTGCAACACCTCCAGTTATTGGAACATTGCTTTTAGTCAATTTCCGGGTTGAACGAAAAAAGGAGCGTCTCGCTTCTCCGGCGTTGAGACGTTGGTAATTGCTGTCTATTATGTTCATACAAACTCCAGCTTCTGGAGGGCAGTATGTGTTCCTCTCCCCTTCATTGAGGATAGCGAAGAAAGATTGAAGGAAGGAAAGGCGGACGTGGCTCTAGTTGGAGGGAAGTAGAAAGAAGATGGATTTTCAATAGCAAAAAACAGTAGCGTGAGCAAAGTGGCAAAAGTAATATATTCTTTTCATTTTTTTATGCGTTTATGCAGGTTTTAGAATGTCTTGTTTTCGTACCGAGTCCGGTTCTACCCATCAGTGTGCTTCCCCTCGTCGTAGGCAAGCAATCTAAAGAATCAAGATAAAAAAGGGCTTTTAGGGTTTAGGCAATGCAAAGAAAAGCTTCGACAGCTCTTTGTATGTGGGTGTGCGCGCGCGAGCGACGGCAGGTTTGCAGTTGAGCTTACCGGAACACTTCTTTTTTCCAGAAACTGAAGATGTTTTTTCCTGCGTTCAAATTTCCCGCTTTTTCCGCCGCAAATTAAAAAAAGTAACGAATTACAAGTAATCCCTTACAGAAATAAGTAACTAAAATTACTTTACAATTACCCTAGAAAATATGTAACGAATCCGTTACAAAATTACAGATAAATGTAACGGATTACAAGTAATTTCGTTACTAGTAACGGATTACGTACAAGTCTGGTTGAAACTACGAAGTTTATTGAGGGCAACGTTACTAGATCACTTTTCAGTGGTCAAACTCCGCCGCAAATCGGCGCTAGACATGGTCCCTTTCAGTTTCCGCTCACCGTGTGGCACGCGTGTCGCGGTTTGTCCGGTTTCCGTTTCGCTTATCTGACGCTCATCGCCTCTACCCGTGGTCTCGGCCGCTCCGTGCACGGCCGCTCGGTTCTTCACGGGACAACCCTCGCAAAGTGTCAGCTTTTTTGTGTATACAAGGAAACATTTCAAGTCATCAATTGACGTTAACTCCACAGCTAATTCCCTGGCGTACACGCTTGACGGCACTACCCGACCCCTAGCACCGACAGACAAGCTAAAGCTGCTGGAGATCTGACACAGCCTTCTTGACTTAAGGAACAGCATTTCTCATTTCGAGTCTGTACAAGACGATTGCGGCATCAATACCTTTGATGGACCTACTTTGTAACCTTTGGCCCGCTTGAGCCATGAGAAAAATCTCGCCGTATAGCGGTGGGGCACCGTCGGGTAGCATGCTGCCGTCCGCGAAACAGATTCTTTCGTTAAAATCGTCGAGGTTGGGGTCTGTGCCTCCTTGGTTACCTTCGCCTTGTCCTTTACAACGTTTTGGTTCCCTCTGGGCGGTCGCTCAGTAGGTGGCTTACGTTTCCGTGTCGGTTTTGATAAGTATTTCGGGCAATTTGGAAACAAACGAGGCACGACGTCGTCTTCCAGGGCCCACTTGTCGCGAGGGATCACGACCACGTCAGCACGAATGCTGTGCACGAAGTTCTTCGTGATATCATCCTCACGGAAATGCAAATCAGAAACTGAACAAGGGCTTGAAAGCTCCTTTTCCTTTCTTTGAATAGCACGTTGCCACTTCCGAAGGCCTTCAGTGTCGGGTGGTTTAAAGAAATGCCTCTTTTCGACCGCAGAAGCAGATTCCTAGGAATGGTAACCGTTTTTGCATCCTGGCACAAAGCAACTCGGCATTTTCTTTAACGTCACTGGCATGGCAGATCAGCACATTCCAGAAGTTCTCGATGACAATGCGCACAAATTTGGTCACATCAGACCGAAACGTGCGAACAACGGGCGGCGAGTCGGGCTGGACGATCGGGCGAGCAGGAGCAAACCGGGCAAAGTCCGTCGCGCGCGCCCCTCACAGCGCGCCACGGAAATGCTACACACGCCACGCCGGAGTTTGACAAATGAAAAGTGATCTAGTAACGTTGGTCGCCTTCAGAGAGCCGTACTCAGGCACGCTCGCTCATCGAGCACATGGACGTTAGAACACGCGCAGTGACTACTTTCCTAAATAAATATGCATACCAAGAGAGAAACACGGGAACAAACAAAAAAAAAAGGGCAGGTAGAAATGTGTTTCCGCACGATTAGAAGCGGAAACCAAGCGTACAGCCAACGTAGAACTCGGAAATGCAGATAGCAGGTCTGGACTGCATCATGACGCCATCTGAATACTCCCTACAAGCATGCCACGGATATGGAAGCAAGAATGAACCATATCGGTAGATTTTCATTCCATGTCCCCACATTAACAATGCGCCAGTCACTTTGACAATGCTGTATACTTTGTGTCAAAGTGCAAAATGCATTTATCATGCTTTTTGGATATCGAGTGATAAAAGGCGTTCTTTTACACGCAATTTTTTGTTGATGAATGGCAAAGAACCGTTGAGTTCTGCAAAAGGTTATTAGACATTGGAGTACTTTACTCAACATATGGTTGTAACAGTATTTTATTTGTCTTGTCCTTTTTAGGGCGGCAGAATCATCCACGGAAATTGCGTAGATGGAGTATGCGTCCCCAATAATTAGGTGAAAAGTTGCCGTACACCCGCTCGGGCACACTGAAGAGCATTGAGTGACACTACGTCGGTGACATCTACGGGTAAAGAATAAAGTTTCCGTAAGCGTGCGCAAACATCTGTGGTAAAAGGACCGTAGCAAACCCTATACTTGCAGCACGGACCTCCTGTGTTCACACGCAGGAACTGTGCAACACCGTTCCAAGTTGGGCTTCCTAGCCGGCGACATTTTAACGAGTGTAGCGCTGCCTACCCTCATCCGGACATTTGGGAGAATCTGAACCCGCCCGAATGACTTTCCTGGCATCTTTTTGTCGGTAATTTTTAGCGCGGTTCTGGGGCAGTCGTCGCTCCCAAACCGAACTCGGCGCTTCGATCGCTAGCGAAATTGGGGATCGCTAGTGAAATTGAGGAGTGGACGAAGCCAGGATAGCACGAACTACGGCATGTGAATTTGCTCTGAACTCAAGTTGTCAGAGCTTGGGGGCGCCGGGAACATTTGAACTGCGCGGTTAGCGGCTCAGACCTGCGCTGCCACGTCTGCTTTAATTCAAATAGTAGAAACATCGAATTTAAATATGAATCGATATATAAATACCGATTACTAATAGCAAGTGCGACGGATCCGTTTTTTTTTCTGATTTGGAATCTACTGTCACAATATTGGCACATTGATGTGCCTTCCTGTAATCGCCTCGTGTGAGAATTTTTTGTGCGCAAACTGTGTCGCGGCGTCTACTAAATCAGTAGACCAGGAGTCACGCAACTGTTTTCTTTTTCAATGTCTAAGCCGCCCTCCGCGTACCTTTCGGTTGTAGCCCAGGCGAAGGAACGGCACGGGGTTCTCCGCAGTTCGCCGGCCGTCGAAGAAATGGTCGGAGCACACACGACTGCTCTTCGATGGCAAGAAGTCTTTCCTGTTTAAATTCGCCAGCCACCGGCGTCGTAGGTCCGGAGCAGCGGGGAACGGGTGCAGCATAAACATGCCGCACCCACATTCATCCTCTTTGACAGCGTGGGTCTCGTACACTAAATCGGTGTTCATTGTACGTTTTTTTGGGCGGGGGGGGGGGGGGGGGGGGTATTTGTACAACCAATTGTAGCGCAGTGCTGTCCGGCCGATTCTTTTCTTGCATAGGCCATGTCGCGCGCGTGCTTTCTAACAGTCCACTTCGTGAGGCAGACGAGGTTTTGAGGGAAAGGGTAAGCGGAGCGTTGGCGCTGCGCTCTGGTTTGAGAGTGTTTTTCTCTTTCTGCATCGACCTAGTTGGAACGGTGTATAGACCTTTTCCGCTTACTCTCGCCCCCGACCGCCAAGTAGGCATATCGGGTATGGGCGACGAAAAAATATCAGTATGTTTCAACCTGCAAATAGTAAAAAAATAGAGGGAAGACAAAACGAGAACGGGTGACGGTTACGCTTATCTCCTAAATGCATTCTATTGGCGTGGCGACGGCAAAGCAATGTTTTCGCCCACACTGGAAGTGACGATATTTCAAGATGGCGGCGCCCTTGTGAAAAAGGTCTATCGAGGCTCAACCATATAGGGTCATTTTTTCAGCGCTTCTTACGTGTCAGCACTATACCCCCTAGAAAACGAGGCCTGCACATGACGTGATCGGCAGTGGATCCCCGATCTACCCGAAGCAGCAAAAACGCAGAAGCTCGAAGACATTTCGCCAAAGGGCAGACGCGTCTGTCTTGGCGTCACCACGTGCTAACATCGCGCTCATTGCGAGAGGGTATAAGATTAATTAGAGAGGCGATGCGGGCTATTTCGGTCATGCTTAGTGGTTCGATACATCACACAAGAAAAGAAGACAAAGTAGAAGGGTGTACATAGGACAAGCGCTTACGCTCAACTGAAGTTTTTATTGAAAAAGAAAACAAACACCGAACTACTACAACAGCATTTCACACCATCTTGCCACTTCAGCAGTTCACGAGGTAACATATCTCTTTGCTATTAAGAATGACACATGTTTGGCTTACACATTACCAGGTCCCTTGTTTTTTCTTTTTGTTTTTTATTGTGTAGACTTCCCCCCGAGAGCAAGCCGATGCACTTTGTTGCTTGGGCATCCCCGCCCTCACAAGCTGCCACAAAAATTCCGTCACCTGGTTAACCAGTTGCCGTTGGTCACGATGGTATCGGTGTGCGTGTACGCGGATTCTTTAGATTTCTCCATCGATGTAGAGGACATGTTTTACTCGGTTCTCCACAGCGCGGCGTTTGTTTCGGTGCGTGAATGTATAGAAAGGAATGGCACCATAGCCTTCCTGAACGCTTCCGGCGTTTCTGTTGTTGGGTTTTTGGAGCTGCTGCAGTTTTACCTCGAAGCCACTCTTATTATGTATTACGTCAGCTTTTATGCGAAAAAAGAAGGCATTTTTATTGGGTCTTGTGTGGCTCCCGTGATATGTGACATTTTCTTATCCAAATGCGACTTCCCCATCTGCGACCACCTAGATGATGAACAAGTATGCAAGGTCTTTCGATATATAGACGACTACGTGGTTGTTATAAGAGGGTCTGAGTGTGTTTCGGAGGAAAGAACTGTCACGACAGTTTTGAATGCTTTCGCAGGGTGCTCCGAGGGGCTTCTATTCGCGCACAAACTTCCGGATGGTCGCTTTTTGCAATTTCTAGACCTCCGGTTAACATTCACAGGCAGTCATATCTGTTGGTCGTAAAAACCACAATCGAAAAAGGGTCTCCTCCACTTCGACTCCTCGGATACTAAGTTCGTAAAAAGAGGCATTGCTCCATCTTGCCTGCATGTGGCTTTGGAGGAATCGTGGCACCATGTAATGCATGCAACTTACGGCCGGCAGGTGGAGCGACTGATTGCGGCCGTATTCCCCACATCGTTGTTGGCACCTGTTGCAGAGTCGCTGCTTAAAGAAAAGTGAAAGGAGGGCTACAGAGTGAAAAAGATAGGCCAAGCAAGAGAACGATAGTAATTCCCTACCTTTATAAATTATCCCACAATGTCGAAAAAGTGGCGCAGAGATATGACGTGCCATTGTTGTTTTCTGCAACTATCAAACTCGCTCAATTATTCCCAAGAGTTGGCAACAAAGGTGAATCCAAGCGCATTTATTTGCTCAGTCAAACATGGGAACAAATATGTGAAATGTACGATGGGCGTCCTGCATAAGATTCCGCTGACTTGCGGCAAAGTTGGACACGTTGGCCAAATGGGCCGATGTGTAAATGAAAGATTGCGTAAGCATGCTTGGTCTCTGCGGTCGACAGGGTGGGGGGGGGGGGGGGGGCGGGGACGGGGACGATACTTGCCGCTTCATTGTGCAGATTGTGGATGCCAGCCCCGTCTTACATCTCGTCACAACTGCTGAAAGAGGGGAGATCAGCTCACTAAGAAAATTTTCGAGGCCTACACGATCCAAAAAGAAGGAACTGGGCAATGTGTAAGCCCAACATTGGTCCTTCTAAATACCAGAGATATGTTATCTCGACACGTGCTAAATGGGCCCTGAGAGTGGAATGCTGTGGTTTACTTCGACATTTTTTTTCAATAAAACCTTCAGTTGAGAGTAAGCGCTTGTCCTGTGTCGAATTAGTCTTCGTTTCTTGTGCGGTGTGTCGAATTCAATATGCTATGAGACGTACAGGTGGCGGTGCTCAAGCAAACTAGGCGGCGCTACGTGGATCTCCTAGTAATTACATATGAGGGAGAA